CCAGATAGTTTCATTTAGCTCAGAGCTTCATTATATTTCACACTAACATAAATACTGTTTATTATTATTAAACTGTTATTATTTAGCACATTTAGATGTTATAGTGCAGCGCGACGTGTGCGCGTGCCTCGTTCTATAAACAGTGACATTAGAACTGGATCAGACTGTGTCTCTTCCAACACAGATGTCGGTCACAGCACCTGGAATCTGACGTAGATTAACTACAAGATTAAAAATATATTCCATCAGTCGAGGTTCTGAAAGCAGTGTATCCGCCGCCATGTTGATAGAAATATAGCGTCTGTCCGCGCGTGCGTGTGCGCATGTGGTTTAACACAAAGCCTCAGCGGGAGATGTTTACATCATCAGCGGGGGGTCAGCGAAAAACCTCCACTCTGGAAGGTGGATTCAGAAACCTCCGGATTCAAAGAGGGGGGCCACTGGTGTCATGTAAATGATCAGCAGAACCGCAGAGAGAAAGCTGCGGATTCACTCAAAATACGCGCCGTGTAAACGGCCCCTTATATCACCTGCCAAAATATAATAAGGATTTCATTAAGGAGTTCTCAGAACTATTAGCTGAACTGTTGCCAAAATTTGACAGTTTGCTTTTATGTGGTGATTTTAACATTCATGTTTGTTGTCCCTGTAACCAACTCGCTGCTGACTTTCAAAACCTTGTGGATTCTTTTAACCTGTCACAATCTGTCAGGGTCCACGCACAGTCATGGTCATACTTTGGACTTAATCATCTCTCATGGCCTTCGTGTATCTGTTATAGAAATTTTGGACACTTGTATTTCAGATCACTTTCCTATTATATTTGAATTTTCCACTCCTCCCCCGGTAAAGACTATGCTTCCAGCACGTCTCTGCCGCTTCATCACTCCCTCCACTCCAGGTCAATTTGCTGCTGCGTTTAGAAGCACTGACTTATACTCTGCTAAATGTCTTGACTCATCTCTACATCCAGAAATTATCACCTCCTTTCAGTACACTTCTACAAAGATCTTGGACTCCATCGCTCCTCTAAGACAGACTTCTTCAAAAATCAAGCCAGATCCCTGGCTCAATGGTACAACTTGGACCTTTAGACAACGCTGCAGGAAAGCAGAACGCAGATGGAAGAAAGACAGGCTTCATGTGTCCCAGGACATACTGAGAGACTGTCTTTACGAATATCAAAATGCTGTTAAGCAGGCCAAATCACAATATCTGTCCAATTTAATTTTTACCAGTTGTAACCGGCCGACGGTTTTATTTAAGACCATTCAGTCCGTCATTAAACCCTCCATCAATGTTCAGAAAACTGCTACACAGTCTTCCTCTGATGGCTTTCTTGATTACTTTGTTAACAAAATAGACTATCAAGCAGAACATTGTCAGTACATATAATGCTGTTCAGTTATGTGTTTCCTCAATAACCTGCTGTCTTTGATAAGTTCCACCTGGTCTCACTACCTCACCTCGTTAAGGTGGTTCAGCAGATGAAACCTACAAACTGTACTCAGGACAACATTCCCTCTAAGACAGGCAAACTTTCAGACTCGCGGGCCACACGGAGTTCTAAAATTGGAGCGAAGGGCCGGGCCAGGAACAGATGAATGGAGTGTTTGTGTGATGTTACACCCCAGCGCAATAACAGCCGCAGGGACGCTATTAATTATGGGCAATTCCACCTTCTGCACCACTCAAGCAGCCACTAAGTCAGGATTATATGATAGAACAGTGATTTATTTACAGTAGTGAAATTATTGACTATGTGGAGTCTTACCAACTTCAGGCCAAAACAACAAACAAAACAAACCACTGTATTTTCTCTTACCTGAAGAAAAATAAAATTAACCAAACCACAAGTCTCTTACCTCACTATGCTAATGGAATACAGGAGAAAAGTCGAAATAAAGTGGCAGCTCACCTCTACAAACTCCTCACAGAACTTTACAACTAAATGGTAAATGGACTCTACTTCTATAGCACCTTTCTATCTTATTTCAAGATACTCAAAGCGCTTTACACTACAATCTGTGCCTCATTTACCCATTCATACAACACTCTACTAGATTTCTATAAAGCTAATTGAACAAATCATTCTAAAGAGACTAATCAGTGCTTTAGATCACATTCAGACACTGATGGGACACACATCAGAAGCTATGAGGGGTTCAGTGTCTTGCCCAGGGACACTTCGACATGTGACTGCTGGTGGATTCAAACCCCCAACTCTCACATTGGAGGACGACTGCTCTAACCACTCAGCCACAGCCGCCCAGGAGGAGGAACTACAGGATCTAAAGTTGATGACAGGTCAGCTGTGGCAGGTTGGGAATGGAAGCAGACGCCATCCTCCTGCAGCTCCTCTATGCAGCATCACAACAGAGTACCTGGACAATAATTCACACATGCTTTTGTCTTTCACATATTTTTTTTTGATAATTCACACATATTTAACAGTTTCACACACGCACAAACAAAGCATGACTTACAGCGATTCCCGATGGATGAAAAATAACATCCTGGTCAGGTTTTCCTCTTTCACTTTATCCTGAATTCTTGTCAGCAGCCCAACATGTTTTCCAGTTAAATTTGTTGATCTGTCCGTTGCGACATTGTCAAGTTTTCTTCACAGTAGCTTCATTCTCTCATGACAGCAATGGTTATAAAAATCCTCTCTCTGTGTTTTTCCTTTCAGAGACTCCAGGGTCAAAAACACCTCCATTATCTCAAAACTGTTGTTAATCCCGCAGATAAAAAAAAAAAAAGGAGATGAGCAGTGTCCTTTATTACTTTCATCCAGTTAACCGTAACTTAAAGGACTCTCTTTGCCTTTTAGCTTATTTTGCTGGCTAAATCTTCATCAATCAGTTCCACAAGGCGAGTCACAGTCAGTCTGAGTCAGAGTCAGAGTTTCTTTATTGTCATTCGCACCACATGTGGTACATGTGGTGGAGCGAAATTATGTACACAGGGTCCCAGTTACATCCAACAATAAAATACAAAAGAAAAACAATGATAACATCTAATATATGAACTAAGAAAAACATCAACTAAATATACACTAAGCACAAATAGCATAAAAACATCACGTCGAACATCAGCACAAACATGAACACGAGTCCGTGTAAGCAGATGAACACGCATGAACACACCAACATTGAAACAGATCAGCAGCAACATGAAACAGATCAGCAGCAACATGAACTGATTTTTTCACAGTGATTATTCTGGTTAGAGATCATGAGTCTAACAGCCTCAGGGTAGAAGCTGTTCCTCAGTCTAGTGGTTCTACACTTAATGCTCCTTAACCTCCTTCCTGAGGGGAGTGGGGCAAAAAGTGTGTGTGCTGGGTGGGTGGGGTCCTTCATGATGCAGGTGGCCCTCTTCCTGCATCTGGAGGTGTAGATGTCTGTGATGGTGGGGAGACTGACTCCAACATCTTCTGTGCAGCCTTCACCACTCTCTGCAAAGCTTTTCTTTCTGCAGCTGTGCAGCCTCCATGCTACGTTGATGCTGGAGCACAGGATGCTCTCCACTGCACACCTGTAGAAGGAGGTGAGGACTGAGCTTCCCAGACCAGCTCGCCTCAGCCGTCTGAGGAAGTAGAGTCTCTGATGAGCTTTCTTGATCAGGCTGGTGGTGTTGTTGCTCCACCTGAGGTTGTTGTTCAGGTGTACACCCAAGCACTTGTAGCTGGAGACCACTTCCACTGCAGATCCTCTTATGTTCAGGGGTGGCAGGGTGGGGGAGGGTGCTTGCCCCATTTGAAATCCACAATCATCTCCTTTGTCTTCTTCACATTGATGTGAAGGTTATTCTCTTTGCACCAGCTCTCCAGGTGTTCCACCTCTTGCCTGTAGCTGGACTCATCATTGTTTGTGATGCATCCCACCACCGCTGTATCATCTGCAAACTTTACAATGTGACAGCCTGGATGGGTAGCTGCACAATCATACGTGAGCAGAGTAAACAGGAGGGGGCTCAACACACATCCCTGAGGAGAGCCAGTGCTGAGGGTTATGGTTGAGGAGGAGAAGTTGTGGATCCTCACTAACTGTAGTCTGTTTGTTAAGAAGTCTAGTACTCAGTTGCAAATGGAGGGGCTTAGTCCTAGTGTGAATAGTTTGTCCATCAGGGTTTGGGGGATCATGGTGTTGAAGGCGGATGTGAAGTCCACAAAGAGCATATGGACGTAAGAGATTTTCTGCTCCAGGTGGTTGAGCGCAGTGTGGACCACAGAGGAGATGGCATTCTCTGTTGATCAGTTCTCACGGTATGCATACTGATGAGGGTCCTCGTTTATGTTGATGGTTGTTTTGATGAGAGTCATGACCAGTTTTCGAAGCATTTAGAGACTATCGGGGTGAGAGTCCTGCATAAGAAAGTGATCTTTTTCTAACTTATCTTGGCCCTCCAGACACAATCGACCTGCTCAGTTTTTAACATGTTTCTTTTAAAAAATCGCCAGCGGAGAAAGGCTTGCTAGCATAGTTAGCAGTTAGCAAAGTGTACTCTTTGAAAACCGCAACAGTTTCTTGGCATAAAAACTGCCTTTGATTGGACCTCAGAGAAACAACATGTTGTTGTCCACTAGGGCTTTTAATGTTTAACTTTTAGTATTTTTATTTATTTATCTTTATCTCTTTTACCTTCTTTTATTCTGGCTGTGTTTTTAATTTGTACTGATTTTTATTGTGTTCCATTTTTATTTTGTTTTATCTTGTAAAGCACCTTGGTCAATGTTCCAACGTTGTTGGAAGGTGCTATAGGAATAAAGTTTATTGTTATTTCATTTCTTAATGTTTCCCTCTCAGATTTTTGTAATGACCTCTTTTGTGAAGGCCCTTTCACACGATAACATTTTAGACAACATGCAGACATATGAAAATTGTGTCCAACACACTGGCATACATACATAAGATGGAATTAAAAAATCAACTGGAAGCCTCTTTTGGATGTATACACAACGTACTGCTATCAAGTTGAATGAACATATAACCTACTTGCCGATTCTGTGTAACTTTACTTCGGGTTTCCGGCTGATAAACAGTCCGCTCTGATCCTCCATCTCTTCTTCACATCGTGTCCTGTTTTCAGAACCTCAAAGGATTTCTTCAACTTGTTAGAAGTACTGAAGAACCCGTATGTTTCAGTCTCCTGTTTCGCTTTATTCTGTGGAGGCCCCCTGGTCCAGACTGCAGTCCCTCTCTTGGTTACAGAATGGCTGGTCCATCAGAACCTCTTCCTTGCTATAGGAATTCTAGAGGATTTAAAAAAACAATAATAAAATGTATTAAATGTTGAAAAAACAAAACACCCACAAAAAAGTATCAAAAGTTTTAACAGAAACATAAGCAGAGTTCTACACAGTGAGACTGGCTCTATCTGAGAATCATAGTCCTTCTTTGAAGGACTATGTATGTCGCCCATCACCTTTCATGACTCAAACCAAAATCCAACAATTTTCAGTCAGGTCATCTGGACAGTTTCTTTTTTTGCTGAAACGTTTCACCTTCCATCCAGAAGGCTTCATCAGTCAAGGAAACACACAACACAAAACTGATTCTTCCCCCAAACAGCTTACTCCAAAGTGGAACAAACAAGTTATGTTGGTGCTAAGATGGTGTCTTTTTTTGTTTTCATTCTATGTTGAGAAATGATAAACTTGCAGCCATTCTATTCCATCCTTAAAAACAATTTTCAGACCATTTTTATGAGATATTACAATTAGTAAAGGCAGTCTGACACAGACACTTGCATGCAAGCTTCGAACTCAATGTTACATTTTTTTGAGCAACTACTTTGAAGCTTGTTTGGGCGCAGAAACCTGCTCCTTAGATAACTACTGTTATTAACTGATTTTTATGTATGTGAATAGGGGTTCGGAAAAAATTTATCAATTTTTTAAAGAATCTAGATTCTTAGTTTTGGCAATTCTGAATCAATTCTAAAAGCCCATAAATCGATTTAAAAATGTGTTTAATTTTATTTTTTCCGCTCCTACTCCCGAGTATACTGCATATCACATTACCTGTCCGCTAGGCCACCGAAGAATTTTTGCCATGTAGGCCACCGTACAGCAAGCTAGTTAGCCAGCTCCCTTTATCTGAATGGAGCCTGCTAGCATGGAGGAGGGAGACAGCGCGATTCAACCCACCTCTTCATCTTTAAAAATCATTTCAGATCCTACAATGTTCCATGGGAAGACAGAGCTTAACAAGAGAACGGTTGTTTACAAGAAGTGTAAAATAAAATTGTGGTACAGTATTCTGGAAATAAGACAAAATGCATGGAAGATGAAAACAAAAACAGCCGACTATGTAAAGCCCCCAGTATACTGCTGCGTACATCCATACGCGGAGGTAAGCACGTACATACGCAGAGGTACGTGCGTACCCCCGAGCGTACCCTCCGTGCAAAGCTCAAATTTTTACGACCGCATACACGGTGTCGCACAATAAACTGCCCAGTGACGGACTGTTTTGTATGCAACACCAATGTATTAAATTCCCCTTCTTCATCTCTGATCTGGCCTTTTCTTTTGTTTTTTTGCCAAGAGGCAGTGATCTCTTCCTCCTCCTTTGATGCCATGACTGAAATGGTGAGAAATGGAGGAATTTGTCACGAGCGAATAAAACTCAGGTCCAGCGTGGCTGCGGGGGGGTCTGGAGATTTCTTGGTGGGCTGGTCTGATGTGTGGGCTGTAGAGCCAGCGCTCCCCGTTTTTTTTTTTTTTTCAGATCTTTTTATTAACAACATATAAACACAGAACACCGCTGCAGCTGAGGCTGCCAGAGCTCACTTTTTTTCTTTTTTCCGACCTGTCAATCAATCCAGTAGGCGTGTCAGCAAATGACCAATTGGCGACCTCAATTTGTCCCGAAGGTAAACGCCCCTGGTCTGTGAAGCTGCTCTGCAGCTGCTCGAGGTGTACGCTGGAGTATGATGTCTGAACCCTCTGTGTACAGTACACGCGTACGTATGCGTGAACGGACGTATGCGGCAGTATACTGGGGGCTTAACTCTGCAACAAACTTCCAGTCTTCCCTAAAGGCTGTGAAGATTTCCCTCTCCATCTCCTGCTATATCACAAAGATTGACAAGCAAACAGCTCAGTGGAAGAAGAGGGGTTCAGGTTTATTTTTAATATGCTGGACCAAACGTACGTTAATCCTTCACATAGCTTTTTAGGGATAAACCTGTGCCACAACTCCAACATGAAACAAAAATAAAGTGGGGTAAGCTCTGATGCTGCAGCATCTCAAAGGTAACCGTTTTTCCCATACTAAATCTTATAAACAAGTAGGAATGTGCGATATGGCATAAAATTCATATCACGATATGTATTGTGAAGGGTGGCGATAATGATATATATCATATGTTTCTGATATAAAACTTGCAATAGGAATGGAAAAAAAGCATAGGGTGTCCTTTTGCCATCATTTATTTTGCATTAAGAAAATTCCACTATTAGGTTCAGAGAATTTTTAAATAATAAATCAAGTGTTAGGCTTCTTTCTTGTAGTGCAAAACAGTGCAAAAGATATCAAATGTAGTTTTAGCCTTTTTTTTTTCATTCATTCAATCTTTATTTAAACAGATAAATCACATTAACCCTCAAAGACTCGTTTACAAGTGAGACCTGTTTGGACAGACAATAAAAGTGACAACTGGACACATGTAGGAATTGGAGGCAAAAAAAATTCTGTTAGACTTTCTTTTTCTTGCCTGAGAAGGAAAATCTCTGATATTAAAAAGCACCTCGTACAAAAAAAGCACAGTGACGTAGACATTCTGTAGAGGGGGACGACGATAGTGGTGTGCAATGTTCATAGATACTCTCAAGGTCACTGTAAGAGTTCTGATAAGGATGGGATAATCAGCCAGTGTCCTCCGGTGAGATCCATAAACATTCTCGAGGTATGTCGAGGAATGGCCAAGAATAACGTCTATGAGAATCCAAGAGTCCTGAAATGATGACACAAAGTTTATTCAGCTGGTTCCATCTGGTTATCAGTTGGAAATTCCTCAGGGAGAAGGTGGTGAGCGTCAGATCACATGTTCTCCAGGCAAGTTCAGATAAGATGGTGTTCAAGTTCAGCCAAGGGCGCCAAATTCAGATAAACACAGTTGTTTTGGGGACAGGCAGAACTTAATGACATCTACAGTCTGTGTTGGTCCAAACGGTTCCGAAATGTCCAAATTACATGGCCACACTGATGGAACATGACTGAGTAAAATCACCAAGATCTGATCCATTCTGTCCAAAGCATTTGAGTCTGAGTACTTGAGGAACGAACCAAGCCATCATAAAGGCAAGCAGCGTGATCGGGTCCAAAATTTGATGCCGACGACTTCCTTGATTGTAGCTAAAACCAGCAACCAACCGAATCCAAAAATCAGGAACCAGTTATCGAAAATCCAATTAAATATGCGTCTTTAAAATCCACAAGTGGCAGCAGAGATACACACATAATCAAGTCTTCCAAGTCGATGAGATATCCAGCTGTGTGCGTGCCAACAGGGCAAATCGGCTCGCTTAAAGCCTGTCTTCTCTTCGAAGAAATGTTGTAAATTGAGTTGAGGGACCAACTGATCAAAACAAGTTCATAATTATGGTTCGGAAGATGCAAGAGAGTCTTGCAAAAAAGTTCAATCTGGTCCTCTGGACATTCAAAAAAAACAAAAAACAAAACAAAGCAAAAAAACTTAGAAACGTTTCGTCTCTCATCCAAGAACGATGGTTTGAGAGAGGAGTAAAGGAGGCCATCTTTGTGAAAAGAAATCGTCCATCATTAAACAGGGGTGGAGGCCTCCGGGTTCAACTGTCCCCCTCTTACAATGCTGTGATTGCTAGTATCACTCAGCCCTCTGTGAACAGTAAACAGCCATCAGGTGCTAATGATCCATTGTTAGGCTGATGGTCCTTCTTGACCATGTGATCAGCTGGTTTTGGTTGTCAGTAGCAAAACTGGTTAATCCACTCAGAGAAGGTGCTATTTAAGAGACTGAGCTGAATATAGCACCTCAGACTGAGGAAGTCTCTTGGATGAGAGACGAAACGTTTCTAAGTTTTTTTGCTTTGTTTTGTTTTTTGTTTTTTTGAAGGTCCAGAGGACCAGATTGAACTTTTTGGGATTTTTCTACCTGGATTATTGAGCATGCATCAGGACAAGAGAGTCTTGGTTTATGTTTTAAATAAAATAATATGTTGTTAACTCTTAACAGTTTCCAGTATTCTCACTTGAGAAATGAACAGTAACAGAGCAGCATTTTACATATAAAAAAGTGCACACAAAAACACTTCACCCCCCAACCTCTAGTGGGCGTCTCCTCCTGCTTTAATGGAGAGCTGACACTAAATGAGTCTGTGGCTTTGACCAGAGGGTCTCGCAGTAAAATCACACAACACAGCGTTCTTTTACAGATCAGAGAGCAGGTTTCTCTAAAGCTGACCAACACTTACTATAACTTTTGACAAAAAAAAACAACAAAAAACTTTTGACGGACCACAGCGTTTTGCACGTGCATCCAAACACGACAAGACTATAGCAAGCCGGCTGTGGTTAGCTTGTAGCTTTGCTACTTAGCTCTCGAAGAAAAGACTTTAACACCACTTATGCAGTTTTCAACAAAAAAAAGTAACGATTAAATCTGACAACTCTGATTTTACATCAGACACAGCATTACTGCAGTTAGCCGGTAGAAGTCAGATCTCTATCGTAGGCTAAATTTCTATCGTTTCTACAGTATATATCGCGCATTCCTACAAACAAGTTATACAAAAAACTTAATGTAATTTGTCTTTTTAACAGGTTGAAGAGAGGACAGACGAGACACATTGCCTGGAGCCAGTTCTGAATGATACAATTTATGGTTTATAAATTATATACAGTTCAGATGAGTTTTTGTGCAGATTTGAACAGGTTTTGAAATGTGGTCAAAGATTTACTAAATACGAATCAATATGGTTAAGACTGACATCTGTATAGCTCATGTTAAGTTTTGAAAATGTAGCAAATGTTAGTGCAATATGGTTAAAAAAAACTGTGAAGTCTTGAGTTACAGTTTAATGCTCTTTGGTAGGCTGAAGTCTTTTTACTTTAATATTTATATATTTTGAATCATTTGTCTGTGATGGACTGGAGACCTGTCCAGGTGTCCCCCGCCTTTCACACAGTGATGGAAAGACATGGGCACCCGTGACTCGAAAAGGAAGAAGTGGGTAAAGATGATGGATGGATGAATTAGTTGTTCCTAGATTTATTTTTAGAAAAAGTCAGGCAGCTAAGCTAACGTAATACTGGTAATTTAAGTTACAGAATGTTATGCACTCCTGTATTTGTTCCTATTTTGATATAAATATAAAATGATGCAAAAGGATTTGATACAGGAACCTAAAATGATTGTTTTAAATAAATGTTCTATTTGTTTACATTGTTGTTTAATCTTTTCAGCTTGTCAGTTACATAACAAACAAAATTTATGAGCATTTCAATAGAAAAATCGATTTTGAATCGAATTGCGACACCAAAAATCGGAATTGAATCGCTAGACATAAGAGATTCGCAGCCATATATGTGAATGTTTCTGTTCAGTACCCTGAGACAACTTCTGTTGTAAATTGGTGCTATATGAAAAAACTGAATTGAAATGAATAGAATAGAAAGAGACACATGACCAATGATGTCCAAAGCAGCCACTGGTTCAGTCTCCTGAGTGAATCACGTACCTGGTTCAGACCAGTTTACTTTTAACTGTTGCTTTGAAACGCAGAGTTTTGCTACACAAGCTTAAGCATGTTCATTGGTGCTTAAAAGCACTACCGGTATATAGCGACCCAAAATCATGTACAATAGTTGAATTTATTGATAAGAGAAGTTGTGGTAGCAAGTTCTGTGGTGTTGTATTCCTGAGGTTGTGGGTTTGAGCCCAGGATGTGTCCATTTATGCTGGGCATCCAGAATAAAGCATTAGTTAAATCTTCCATAAGAGTTTTTTTGCTGGGGTGACACCTAAAGCAGAGGACAGCCAAAAGAAAAACAACTTGTGGCCTTGTTGCTATAATGATCATTACTGTGTTTGTTTCTTTGTGAGACCATTTTCAGCTGATCAGTCCCAATAAGGTGGAACTCCGTTAATGCTACTACACCAGGTTGTTCATATAACTTGGGCAAAATTGCATAACTGGCTAATACTGTCAGTATGGCTAGTGCAATACTCTCTAATAATGATGTATTTAATAAGTTGTTCAAATATTGTAGTTTACACAGGTCTAGTGCTCGATGTGTCTTCAGTGGCATAAAATAATAAGGAATGTCTAAACCAGTGGTTCTGAAACTGGGGTCCCCAGATCCCTGGGGGTCTGCGAGCTGGTGCTTGGGGGTCCACAACAACAAAAAGATTTACAAGCACGTAGATTTTTAACAATCTGGTAAAATACACCAAAATGCAGGAAATCACATCTACTTTATTCAAAACTTTTCTGGGAGAGGACTCCCAGACCCCCCACCAGATATTTGCGTTCCAACATTGATCAGCTTACAAATTAAGCCCTGTTACTTGGTATGACTACTGCTGTTATGATTCTGTTCAGTTTTATGTAAAGAGTGTTCTGTAATAATTTAAACAGAGGCCATGTTTATTAAGTGAATAGGTAAAGTTTTAAAGTAGTTTTTGATACTGTTAATTTTCTCAAAACTGTAATTTTTGGACGTTGAAATTAAAAAAATTTTAAATTGTGTCTTGAAACAAAAATACCACACGTTTAAAAGTATAAAAATTGTATTAACACTATTAAAGAACAGGTCTTAAGTATTAATGTTAAACAAATATTTCCATTGCACTAAAGTAGAGCAATCATTTCTAACCCGAACCCGAAACCCGGCCCGGACTGACCCGGATTAGGACCGGGCCGTTATAATGTGATTAATGGGTGGACTGGGCCAGTCGCGGGCTTTTAATTAGGTCAGGATCAACTGAGATCGAATTATATGATAACAATGCCTGCCATACATCCACCAGCTGCACGCGGCCATTTTACTGCGAGCTGACCGGCCTTGAAAGAGTTCAAAGTTCAGTTAAGCTTCAGATGGGACTGTACTGCCAGGCAGCGATCCAACGCCCAAATGGACGTTCATTCTGCCGCTGCACTCGGTGGACGCGCACGGCTGATGACCCAAACAGGTGAGATCCCAAAGCAGACGTGTGTGTCAGAGCTGTCTGCGTCTCAGTAATTCAGAAGAGTGCAGCAGAAACGGGGTTTAAATGTTTTTTTATGGCCATGAAATGACAACCACCCCTCAGCTTAGAATCTTCTGCATCTTTTATTCGGCTGCGCGTTCTGACCGTTAATAACTAATTTAAAATGTCAATTCAGTTCAGTTTATTTATATAGCGCCAGTCACAACAAAGTTGTCTCAGGAGACTTTACAGGAACATTGACATAAGGAATCCAGCAGACAAGTTGAATCTTGGCTTCGATGCAGTCTCACATCATGTCCAACCCTGTCGGGGTTTCTTCCGGGTTCCGACCTGTAATTACTGTTAATTCGTCGGGTCGGGTGGGGTTAGGAAATTATGAATGCGGGTTGGGGCCGGGTCAGATCAGATTTTTTGGGCCCGAATGCAACTCTACGCTAAAGAGACAAATTGAAGAAAAGTATTTAATAAACATGAGTCATGAGGGGGTCCTTGAACCCAAAAAGTCTGAGAACTCCTGGTCTAAGCAAAGCCTTAGGGAAAACCAGAGCCAAAAGTACACCACCTTCATCGGTGCCATGTGAACGTGTGTTCTTGAAAGATGGAGACATTAGTGGGGAAAAAAACCACCGGAAAAAGAATATTGATTCTTAATAATACATCTTTGAGTTCCTAATCTTCCACAGCCCTAGTCACACAAGCACACCCTACCATCCCAACACATCCTCTGTATCACAGAGCATGACTTATCCCAAAAAATCCTCTGTATCACAGAGCATGACTTATCCCAAAACATCCTCTGTATCACATAGCATGACTTATTCCAAAACATCCTCTGTATCACAGAGCATGACTTATCCCAAAACATCCTCTGTATCACAGAGCATGACTTATCCCAAAACATCCTCTGTATCACATAGCATGACTTATTCAAACACATCCTCTGTATCACATAGCATGACTTATTCCAACACATCCTCTGTATCACAGAGCATGACTTATCCCAAAACATCCTCTGTATCACAGAGCATGACTTATCCCAAAACATCCTCTGTATCACAGAGCATGACTTATCCCAACACATCCTCTGTATCACAGAGCATGACTTATCCCAAAACATCCTCTGTATCACAGAGCATGACTTATTCCAAAACATCCTCTGTATCACAGAGCATGACTTATCCCAACGCATCCTCTGTATCACAGAGCATGACTTATCCCAACACATCCATTTAAGAATCAAGTGGCCAAAACCAATCTTTACAAAAATACACAGTTCACAAAAAACACAGTTTCACTCATCACATAATAAATTACACATTTTTGTACATCTTCAATTTTGCCACTAAATATCCACGAAACAAAGAATTCAATGAATTACAGTAATTCATTTTCAATACAAGTGATAAAGTGTTTAAATGGGCAGCCGTGGTTCAGTGGTAGTGGCAGCCGACCTCTGATCGGAAGGTTGGAGGTTCGAATCCCGACTTCCCACACCATGTGCCGTTGTGTCCCTGGGCAAGACACTTAACCCCGAGTTGCTCCCGGTGGGACTGGATGGCGCCTTGCATGGCAGCCTACCGCCACCGGTGTATGAATGTGCGTGTGAATGGGTGGATGGCTGGTACTGTAAAGCGCCTTGGGGCCCCTCATAGGGGGCTGGAAGGCGCTATAGAAGTAAGCTCCATTTACCATTTACCATTTAAATACTGGTTGTTTCATTTTTACATCATAATATTTCGTTCAATCTCACATGATCTGTTGGAGTGGGGATGACTCTCAGCTACTACCACACTACATTCTAGGTCAATATGTGTAAAATGGCTGCGTTTATACGTTTGGGGTTTACTAAGCTCACTTTCTTGTGACGGCCATCCTGAGTTAGTAGAACAAGGTTAAGTCAGATCTTCTGGACGGACTCTTCTTTGATAAAACCAACTTTACTGCGATGATGAGATGAATCGTTTCAACTTAATCTGTCCAGACACCTGACTTAACCTAGTTAGATTTATCTACCTGGATTATTGAGCAGCATCAGGGCGTCCTGATTAGGTTCAATCCAAAACTTCATCAGTTGAACCCAATGATTACTTTCTGCGAAATAAATTTAAACATTTCCAGGGATTTAGAGAAATGAAGGACAGCCAAACCATTACACACACAAACACAAACGTTGTTCTCGGTGTGATGTTTACATGTTCTCACAGAATGACGAATAACTTCGTAAAATCCGATTTCAAGAAGTTTAAAATGACTAAAATCTAAATAGTTTTGTCAGCTCTGAAGACAAACCAAGAGAGAAGATGTATATGTAGCAAAGAAACACGAAGTTTAGCAGTTCTTAACCTCTGCTCTTCACATCTGTCTCCTACAGCACAAAAACAAATGGTCCCTAAAGTGAATGCAAAACAAGAAGAAGAAACGTTTCAAATATTCACCACTGAGAGCACACAGGATCAGGAACAGCTCACGAAGCTAACGATGTTAGCGACGTCTTCTTTACTTCCGCCGGATGCGACTACCTGAACTTCCGGCCAAATTAGCTGCGGCTAACCATAGATATAAACACTAGATACCATAGATATAAACACTAGATACCATAGATATAAGCACTAGATACCATAGATATAAGCACTAGATACCATAGATATAAACATTAGATACATCATTGACCGCTATCGCCTATTGGCGCTGACGAGCTGTAAAGCCGCCATCTTGGAACGGTCGCCCGCTCCACTCAGTGTAACCTGTTTGACAGGAGCAATGAAGTATCTGTGTTTATTCAGTCAGAGCTGAATACTAAACTCATTCTCACGATTTTTCCTCTGTAAATCTTAGGAGTACAGCCATTAAAGATGAACACATGGTTCAGTGTATTTAAATATTCTTGGTGGGGTTAACATTAACACTAATAAAATATTCTTATGACAAGTTTTGCAAAACTC